TAGTTTTTTCCCCCTGAAATGTTAAACATGGGCATTGAAAGCTCCACCTGTTTCACTTACTTAGACCACTCAATTCAAGGTCTAAAATCACTTAACTATGTTACCAGTAAACCACATAAGGTAATGGACCAAATGCCACTTGAGTTCAATTAAATTCAAGCCACGTGGCCTAACATGAATTGAAGGAGAAACTGAATACATGCTGGGTGTTGAAGAACATGTGAATATTTTCATGCTTGATGCAATTAAATTTAATTTCAGAATGAGGGAAGAAAAATAGCTGATTACATCAAACTTTTATATTTTTGTTTCCGGAAAGTTTTATAACAGTGAAGAATTTAGTGTGTCATTGCAGTTTTTTTTTCATGTGGTAAATCCAGCCTCACCGTGCACACAACATGAAATGCTCAGATTGCAGATACAGTGCATGATTCTATAGGTGAACTTAAATGTCCTCTTAATAAATGCTGATGCTTTAAGCATGCCAGGTTGGATCAACATGACTGAAAGGTAGAAGATGAAAGTGTTTTATAAAGCCCTTTGGCAGTAGGCAGGGCAAGTACTGCGTGGTTTAATCCCCAGGTGTGTGCAGGATGGATAATTGTTTTTGGTTTGCCTTCTGAATTTGCTACCATTTATTTATGATGAAAAGTAACATGGTGAATTACATTAGCTTCTGAAAAATGGGTGATGCCAGGAGGAAGTTTGAAGTACTCCTTTAAAAAAATAATAATCCTGAATTTTAGGGGTATTATACGAGGGGTATTTTTTAAGTAAGGTCCGTTTTGTTGTAGACACTAGTAGTTCGCGCGTATACCACAACGAGCGCGTGCGTTGTGTACCGGCATGCCTCGGGAACAACTGTGCTCAGTTTCCGCTCTGTAGCTAACCTGTACGGTTCTGTTCTGTGCTTTAAAAATGTTTAAGACTATCAACTCACCCTCCGCATGTGAGGTTCGCTCAGTGATACGGTTTTTGTCAGCAAGGAACCTGCCTGCTGCAGAAATTCATCGACAGATTTGTGAAGTGTACGGTGATACTGTTATGAGTGAAAGCAAAGTGCGTAAGTGGGTACGACAATTCAAAGATGGCTGTGACAACGTCCATGATGAGGACCGCTCCGGTCGCCCTTCTTTGATTACAGTGAACTCTTGGTTAGTGGAGCAGGCAGCAAGTTTTTATGAAGAGGGTATTTTAAAATTGGTTCAGAGGTATGATAAGTGTTTGAACAAACTTGGCAACTATGTCAAAAAATAGAGTGAAGTATGTGCTTTCTGAAAATAAATTTACTTTTTTGAAATAAACTTTTGTTGTGTACTTATGTTCAAATGGACCTTACTTAAAAAATACCCCTCGTATAATGCCATTGTGAGAGCTCTCAAATGTTTTCCAGTTCTATAGGCACTTTATGGATTCAGAAGATCTCTTTCTCTTTTTCCATGATTAAATTTACTCAGGAAGCTTTTGGCCACAGACTTTGTAATAAGCTTTTTGAAAGGCCAAGCACAGAGATGGCACTTAGAATGGAATCTAGGACAAGTTTGGAGCATTAAAGTAGGGTTTCCATGACGTGGGAAACCCAGCTCCAAATCCTTTTTCAGCTCCATGACCTGCTGGGTTTCCTTCTCTTATATTGGTACCCTGCTGGGGTATCTCTGAGACAAAGCTGCTTATTCCCACTGGGCAAACCCAGAAGTGATTGGAGAAAAGATGGCAGGTGAGTCATCATTGCCCAGTCCTTAGCATCACCTTAGTGGCTCACCACCTTAGCAACAACGTCTTCCTTAAAATAATAAAACTGTAATAATGCATTTCCATGCTGTTTTGTCAGATTAACAGAGAGATTATTGTAATTCCTTGGGGTGAGGAAGGAGCAGTACTGTTCTTTTCATTTAACACAGTGAGATGTCTGTCTCAAGGCAACAGATCTGGGGTATCATGAAAGTGCAATGATCATCGAGGGTCCTATCACACTACACTGTTATAGCACTATCTTTCCACTGTAACTGTCATTTCAACATCTTATGGAATCCTAGTATTTACAATTTGGGTATTCAATGAGCTTTTGGGCCTCACTAATAATAGTTTCTTATCGTGTCAGGAGCGAACTGAGAAACTGTTGCTTCCAGTGTGAGAGAATTGGCCGTCTGTGCGGGCGTTGCCCAGAGGATGCCCAGAGGATGCCCAGATGTTTGGATGTTTTACCATCCTGTTGGGGGGCTTCTCTCATGTTCCTGCATGGGGAGCTGGAGCTGACAGAGGGAGCTCATCTGTGCTCTTCCTGGATTCAAATCTCTGACCTGTCGGTCTTCAGGGGGCTCCAATACTGCTACTACTATTACTACTACTACTAATATGAATAATATGCTTCATTTATTTTCTGCCCTATCTCCCCAAGGGGACTCAGGAAGGGTTACAGAACGCATATACAGCAAGCATTCAACGCTATCATACAATTGACAAGGAGAGACAATACATAAACAGAGGTAAAACTAAGAATTCTACAGGATGTTCCCATGGTAGTTAAAGTGGGATAATAGCACTATAACAGTGTGGTGTGACAAGGTATTTATTTGTTATAATTTTTCATTTTACCTTAAGATGTAGGAGATGTAGACAAAGGAGGAATTTATTGCCTCATGTACTGTCTTGATTGATTTAGTATATTGATATAGATGAAAGGGGAAACATGTCCTAAGGCCTGCTCACACTGCACGGTAATAGCACAATTATGCTTAAACTGCCATGACAGCATCCCATGGAATCCTAGAATTTGCTTTTTAGTGAGTGGTATTCAGAATGCTCTATAGAATCATAGAATCATAGAATCAAAGAGTTGGAAGAGACCTCATGGGCCATCCAGTCCAACCCCCTGCCAAGAAGCAGGAATATTGCATTCAAATCACCCCTGACAGATGGCCATCCAGCCTCTGTTTAAAAGCTTCCAAAGAAGGAGCCTCCACCACACTCCGGGGTAGAGTTTTCCACTGCTGAACGGCTCTCACAGTCAGGAAGTTATTCCTCATGTTCAGATGGAATCTCCTCTCTTGTAGTTTGAAGCCATTGTTCCGCGTCCTAGTCTCCAAAGAAGCAGAAAACAAGCTTGCTCCCTCCTCCCTGTGGCTTCCTCTCACATATTTATACATGGCTATCATATCCCCTCTCAGCCTTCTCTTCTTCAGGCTAAACATGCCCAGCTCCTTAAGCCGCTCCTCATAGGGCTTGTTCTCCAGACCCTTTATCATTTTAGTCGCTCTCCTCTGGACACATTCTCTATGCCTCACAAATTACAAATCCCTGAATTCCATAAGATACAGCCATGGCAGTTGAAATGATATCAAACTGCTGCAACTATACAGGGGGAAAGGGCCCTTGGCCCTCTTCTTTGGGTGCGAAATGTTTAAGGCTGATCCTGCATGGGGCCAAGAGCAATTTAGGTGGGCACCCTCATCCTTGAGATGAGTCACCTTGACTTCCATCAAGTCAACCCTATTTCTTTTCATCAAGTCAACCCTATAAATGAGAGACCCCTAAGCCACCCAATGTTCGTTTAGCCCTGCTCAGGTCTTCAAGACTCAGGGTCATGGCTTTCTTGATTGAATCACACCACTTGGAATGTGGTCTTCCTCTTTCCCCATTGCTTTCTACCTCACCAAGCATTGGTTTGCTGGCTGATATCTGAATAGAGAATGGGCCAGAGATGTCAATGCCTTCACCCTTTCACTACAGTAGAGTCTCGCTTATCCAATTTTTGTTCATCCAGTGTTCTGTATTATCCAACACAATCTGCCTCCCGCTCAGATCCATGGAGAAAGAAAGAACCCTTGTCTGGTTTGGTGCTGAATTCGTAAATATAGTAATTACTACATAATATTACTGTGTATTGAACTGCTTTTTCTGTCAATTTGTTATAAAACATGATGTTCTAGGGCTTAATTTGTAAAATCATAATGTAATATAATCATATTTTATTTATTTACAGTATTTATATACCGCTTTTCTCATCCCGAGGGGGACTCAACGTTTTTTTGTGTAGTTTTAATATTTGCATTTTGTAAGATTTGTAAATTGTATAGCTATTCAGATGGTGAGCCACTTTGGCTCCCTGCTTTGGGAGAAAAACAGAGTACAAATACATAAGATTATTTGTTTATTTATCATGTCAGAAGAGAATTGAGAATACAGTTATTAAAAAAACCCCACAAAGTTGAATACTTGGGATTTTGCTAAATTTCCTTTGACCAGACGATGGCCACTTGGGAGTGCCTCTGGTGTCTCTAGGATAATGATGGTGATGGTGATTATGATGAAAATGGTGATTTTGACGATGGTGACAATAATGAAGGGAAAGCCCCAATCAGCTGCGAGGCGGACCCTCGTTCAGGCTGAGAGCCAAGTGTGGCCGCACTTCCCGCGCGCGGCCTGCAGGGGTCGCTGTTCGGAGCCTCATCCGGCGACGCCGCTCTCGCCCCCGCAGCGCTGCGCCGCCAGCTCCTTCCTCTCCTCCCAAGAATTCCTTCAAGAGGGCAGGGCCGGCTCCCATCGGCTGCGGCTGGCCTCCCTCGCTGTGCATTGTGGGACGGGTAGTTCCGAGGCCTCGGGATAAGCTCGCCCGCTAAGGAGCGGCGGACTACAACTCCTACAATGCCGCGGGGCCAGCGCCTGGCCGTTCCTTTTGAATGATTTCACTGCGGTTTCCATTCCCAGCGAGAAGCGCCGCAGCAAGGGAAGGAAGCGGGCAAGCAGGCGGGCGCCGCAATTATGCTCTGAGGATCCCGCGGGCCAGCCAGGAAATCCACTCCATCCCTTGAATGGCAGCCTGGGCGAGGAGGGCTAGAGGAAAAGGAGCCATGGCCGCACGAAGACTGGCGCGGCTTTGAAGCCTGCAGAAAATCACACACACACGCACACGCATCCCTCTTTTGGTCTATGTGGCCAGCGCGGGCTCCGTCTCGCTCTGCCTGCGCCGCATTCCCTCCCCCGCTGGTGGAGAGCGCCGCCGCTTGCCGCTGAGGGCAGCTCTGCCTGGGCGAAGATGTCGGCGTTGCTGGACGAGGAGGAGTACGCGAGGCTGGTGCGGGAGTCGGGCCCGGAGTGGCTCCGCGCGGAGGTCAAGCGCCTCTTCCAGGAGCTGGGCGAGACCACCCGCGAGAAGATCCAGGCGGCCGAGTACGGGCTGGCCGTGCTGGAGGAGAAGCAGCAGCTCAAGCAGCAGTACGAGGAGCTCGAGCTCGAGTACGAGACCGCCCGCGGGGAGATGGAGCAGCTCAAGGAGGTGAGGGAAGCGAGGAAGGAAGAAAGGAGGAAGAAGAAAGGGGGGGGGGAGAGGGGGAGAAAGAGGAAGGGAGGAAGAAGCAGGAGGAAGAAGAAGGGGGAGAGAGAAGGAGGAGGAAGAGGAGGAGAAGGAAGAAGAGGGGAGGAAGAAAGGAGGAAAGGAGGAAGAAAAGAAGGGGAGGAGGAAGAGGAAGGAGGAAGAAAGAGGAGATGAAGAGGTGGGGGAGAAGAGGAGGAGGGAGGGAGAGGAAAAAGAGGAAGAAGAAGGCTCAGGAGCAAGGGGAGGGGGATAAAGGAGCGAAGAGGAAGCGAAGGAGGAGAAGGAAGAAGAAGAAATGGAAGGACAAGAGGAGGAGGAGGAAGAAGAGAAGAAAGGGGGAGGAGGAACATGGGACAGGAGCAAGGCGAAGGGGTGGAAGATAAGGAGGATGAAGTGGTGAATGAGGAAGAGGAGAAAGGAGGGAGGAAGAAGAAGGGGCAGGAGCAAGGAGAGGGAGAGGAAGAAGAGGGGAGGAGGAGAGGGAAGAAGAAGAAAGGGAAGGCCGAGGAGGAGGAGGAGACAGGGTGAGGCAGAAGAGTCAGGAGCAAGGCGAGGGGAAAGAGAAAGAGATTGAGGAGAAGGAAGAAGAAGAAAGGGAACCATAAGAAGAGGAGGAGGAGGAAGAAAGAGAAGGGCAAGAAGAGGGGGAGGAAGAAAAGAAAGGGGGAGGGAGAAGAAGGGTCAGGAGGAAGCCAAGGAGGAGGAAGAAGAGGGAGGAGGAAGAGAATGAGGAGGAGAAGGAAAAAGAAGAAAGGACAAGAAGAGGAGGGAGAAGAAGAGGAGAAAGGGGAGGAAGAAGGGGCAGGAGCAAGAGAAGGAGGAGGGGGGAGGAAGAAAAAGTGCTGGGGGAAAGAGGAGAAATAGGAAGAAAAGAGAGGAGGACGGAGGGAAAGACAAGGAAGAAAGGGAGGGGCAGGAAGAAGGTGGTGAGGAAGAGGAAGGGAGGAGGAAGTAGAGGAAGAGAATGAGGTGAAAAGGAAGAGGAAGAAGTATTGGGTGAGAGAGGAAGAAGAGGGGGAGGAGTAGAAAGTTGAGAGGAAGGAAAAGGGAGAGTAGAGGAAGAGGTGAAGGAAGAATAGGAGCAGGGGGAGAGAAAGAGAGCGAAGAAGAGGGGAGGAAAGCCTACTTGTCCTCTGGGCCCTGGAAGTGGAATGATGAGTAGGTTGCAAGGCAGGGCTTTATGGCAGGAAATATGTATGCATGCTGGAGAGATACAGATTGCAGGGGGGAACATGGGCTAATGCTTACAGCTCTGCCAGCCTGGAAGAGTCCTGCCAGCCAGGAATTGAGTGAACACTCACACACAGACACACATGTTTCTAAGTAGCAGCTGGTGTGGAGGAAGGCCAGGCCTTCTTGCTTTCCTTTATTCTGGGCCCTTGGGGTGGGCTGGTTGGAATGTAATGTTGTTGGGTTTGTTTTTTTTGCAAGACAGGGCATTCCTGCAGGAGATCTATAGCATGAGCCAGTGTGGATCAGGTCAGGCTGGAATTGAATATGCTGGAGATGTATAGCATGCCAGGGGGTGGGTGGGAAGCACTAGCCACAGTGGTTAGAGCAGCCTGGAATTTAGAGTGTGTATGGCAGGGCTGTTTTGTAGGAAAGACATAGGGACCCCCTTGCACGTGCCGGAGACATACAGTGTGTGTGTGGGGAGTATAGGCCAGTGGTTGGAAATCCCCTGGGGATTCTGGCCAGGCAGAATCCTGTGCACTTGGCTGGTGATGATGGCGAATAATAATAATTAATTTGTTGCCGACCTCTCCATAGATAAAAACAAGGCTATTAAAACACATATATTCAAAGACATAGACCTGAGATTAAAACACACTGAAATCACAATTCCTACTAATAAAACGTCAGTTCAAATTCACAAAAATATTAGGCCATTGAAACACACACACACACACACATATATTCAAAGACATAGGTCTAAGATGAAAACCCATTAATATTGGTGTGAATGTGTGTGATGTGGAAAGGAAGCGACTCCTTGCCCACCTTCCCTAGGTTTGCACATTGGCAATAAAGTCACAGGAGAAAGGCGCCTTGGCCTTCCTTGTTTCTGCTGGCGCAGTGCCTTGCCATTCCCTTAAAGGGGCAGCTCAGTGTTTTCCCTTAATGCACCGTGCCCTTCCCATGACATCTGCAGCTTTCCTCCACACTGCAGGGAAATGGCCAGGACAGTAGATAGGGTGCATCTATACTGTAGAATGAATGCAATCAGACACCACTTTAATTTCCATGGCTCAATGCTATGAGATCATTGGAGCTGTAGTTTTACAGGTCTTGAGCCTTCTCTGCCTAAGAGTGCTGGTCTCTCACCAAGCTACAGCTTCCAGGATTCATTAGCATTGAGTCATGGAAATTAAAGTGGAGTCAAACTTCATCCACTCAGTTGATGCATTGCCACTAAAGATGCCTCTACACTATAGAATGAATGTAGTTTAACACCACTTTAATGGCCATGGCTCATTACTATGGGATCTTGGGATTGGTAGTTTGGCGAGAGGCAGCTAAAATACCTTGTAAAACTACAGCTTCCGGGATTCCATCGCATTGAGCCATGCATTTAAAATGGCATAAAACAGCATTATTCCTACACTGTTTATTCAACCAAAGTATTGAGGTTAATAATCAAGTTATTGATTGAAATCTGGTACAGGCATCTACAAGAACTGTCCCCTTCCTGGCCTATTTCAGGTTGGCTTGATGGAATTAGCTACTTAGGTCTAAATTACATTATTTAATTGCCTGCTGCATTGTGTCTTCAGATGCACAATTACTGATATTTGGAGAGTGTGGGAGGCATATTTGCTTAACCAGAGAAATGAGTATGCATTTTCAAACAGCTAATAATTAAGGGTTCCTCGGGGCAGTTTTGTCTGCTGGGAGGTTGCAGTGTTAATGCAAATAGATGAACAATTTATTGAAAGCAACAGAACAAACTCATGGAAGTTCATGGAAGCTCGGAAGGCAATAACTTTAACGTCTCCCAGTGGTGTAAAAACCATTTCAATTGTTACTCTGGATTCTGGAAAGTGTACACCTGCCTAAGAGTTTGAGATATTATTTCAACTATGTTCAGGACTTTTCTTTTGAAGAAAGAGTCCAAAACAGCCATTGTGTGCTCGTGACTATGAAGTATTTGGTTTTCGTTGAATAGGTCTTATGACCACAGTTTTGCACAGGTAAATTAGTTTATTATGAATATTTCCCTTACCAACATAATCATCCATTTTTCCCTGTCCCACAATGTGTGCTATAATAGAAGAATGAGTAGCTATGGTCTCTCTTTATTTGGGTAGGTTTGATCAGGTGACTTACTTAGAGCACATCACCTGATTTTTGCTTTTCTAGGTTTTTAACCTCTCATTTTTGTTTTGTTTTTATCACTCATATACCTGCAGCTGAATTTCTGAATTTTACTGATTTTATCCAATGGGTTTTGTGTAGTGAGATATTCACGTTGGTTGTTATTGTTTGATGTTAATGTTTCTGCAATTTTTGTACTTTATGTGTTTGCACCTTTGTAAACTGCCCCAACTCCCTCTGGGAGATGGTGGCAGGGTATAAATAAAGTTTATTTTATTATATTAAATTAAATAAAAGGATAAACTAAAACATGGAAGCCCTCTCTTTGGTTTTGATTTGAAGCCGTTTAATTGCAAACAGCAGAACTGTCGCTTGGCAGCTGTGACAGTCTGGATGAGGGCAAACAAATTGAAATTGAATTCAGACAAGACAGAGGAACTCCTGGTCAGTCGTAAGGCCGAAGAGGGTGTAGAGTTACAGCTTGTGCTGGATGGGGTTACACTCCCCCCACAGTTTCGCAGTTTGGGAGTGATCCTGGACTCATTGCTGAGCCTAGAACCCCAGGATTAAGCAATGGCCAGGGGAGCTTTTGCACAATTAAAACTTGTGTGCCAGTTGCGCCCGTATCTTGGGAAGTCAGACTTGGCCACAGTGCTCCACACTCTGGTTACATCGAGAATAGACTACTGAAACATGCTGTACTTGGGGTTGCTCTTGAAGCTTCAAGTAGTCCAACAGGCAGCAAGCAGATTTCTCACCGGAGTGGGGTATGGAGAGCATACAACTTCTTTGTTATGTCAGCTCCAGTGGCTGCCAGTCTGCTATCAAGCACAATTCAAATTGCTGGCTTTAGACTATAAAACCCTAAACGCTCCAGCCCGATTTACCTGTGGGATCCTGCCTGAATGTATCTCCCTCTATGAGCCAGCTAGAAGGTTAAGATAATCTGGGGAGACCCTGCTCTCGGTCCCACCTCCTTTGCAGGCGCGACTGGTAGGGATGACAGGCAGGGGCTTCGCAGTGGTGGCCCTCCCTAATGAAATCAGATCAGCTCCCTCCCTCCTCACCTTCAGGAAAAAGCTAAAAATGTGGATGTGGGATCAAGCATTTGGTTAGTAACCCATTAGAGAATACGGAATAGTGCAATGACAATCTGGAATGGCCATGGATTATGATTTTGGATATTGTGATTTTTAATAAGTGTTTTAAGGTTTGATACATTTTAATGACTATTTTAATGTATATGTTTATTTTATTATATATGTATGTTTACATGGCATTGAATTGTTGTCTATATATGTAAGGCGCATTGAGTCCCCTACGGGGTTGAGAAAGGCCGGCTATAAATATGGTACATAAATAAATAAATACATTTAATGGACACAAGAGAAGCTGGGTTTTTAAGGTGGCATAAAACATTACAAATTTGCTAGCCATTGGAACAATAATGCAGGCCCAACTTCAGTATTTACTTAACAGAGGAAAAATGTTTAATTAAATAGTGCAAGTCTTTATGATGGCACGGTTTGTTAATGAAGCCTGTTCTCTACCAAGGTGCTTAATATTATCCTCACCGTTTAATCAAAAGAGTTTTAGGAGGTCACTATTAATTATTTTTCAAGGTCTTCTTTAAATCCAAATCTATC